TTTATTTATATCATTAATATTATTCATTTTATCAATTTTATTAATATTATAAATTTCTTTATTGATTTTCATATAAAAATAGAGTTGCCCCCCCCTTGATTTTCAAACGTTTTATTTTTATATTTTAAGACATTTTTATGTTTAACATTCTTTTTATATTTTAATTTTAATTCTTAATTTTTTATTCATTTATTTTTTATTTTTTATTTTTTATTTATATTTTAATTTTTAATCTTAATTTTTTTTAATTAGAAAACGAACGCTGCTGTTATTAATAACAGCAGTGTCCATTTTCAAATTAAAATTTATAATTCTTATTTTCAATTTTATTTTCAATTCATTCAAATGCATAACAACAATAATAATCCAGCCTAACAATAAAATATCTCAAGATAACCAGAAATATTAAACAAGCGGTGTATACCCAAAATTTGTACCTGACAATTGCAAGCAACGTATAACAACGAATTGTGAGACCAATGTATGGTATCATGTGCCCCTTAAGGAAATTTGTTCCTAATCAAACCAAACTCATAAATAATTACATAGGTTACACTATTACATGCCTATCCAGGCGACTTACGTTGCACCAATCCGACAACAGCTCAATCAGAACTCATTTAAACAACAAAACCTATTAGACTCGAACAACCCATACACTCAGTTAAAAAAAAAAAATAGAATCATCCATGATAATGGCTAAAAGGATAGTCGGAATGGCTCGGAAATGTAGAAAATTTGGAGTTTTTACAAAGTTTGTGCCCAGAAAAAATATATATATATATATATATATATATATATATATATATATATATATATATATTACTTTAAACGTTATTTTTAATGTCAGATTAGTAAATTAAAATTGATTATTTATTTTATTATATATATATATATATATATATATATATATATATTATGCATTTCGGTAGGAATCTCTCTTTTATACAGGTTTCGTTAATTACGACAGACAAGGTACTATAATTAGCATTTTATTTAATTTTTCTTGTGTTCGTATAATATATATATATATATATATATATATATGTATGATGTATAGTATTATGTAGGATGTATAGTATTAGGTAAAACAAAAGTGAAGATGATGAGAGAATGTGGAATTTTTTTAATTAACAACGCGTTATACCAGAGAGCGTAAGCTCTTTTGGCTTCCTCGGATCATAACGAATGAAAGACAAAGCTGTGTGTGAGGAAAATGCCTTGGAATCTCTGAGCGTAAGTGGGAATCATAAGTCAAATTAATTACCATAGCTTATGCACTTTGTCTCATCAACTTCACGCAGGCAAACACACACACACACATATGATAATACTAAGCTATGTATTAAGACAATACACACACACACACACACACACAATGACATATACAGTGTAACCCGGATATAAGAGAGTTGTCGGGACCGGAGAAGAAGTCTCTTATATCCGGGTTTCTATTATATCCGGGTCTTATATCCGGGTCTCTTATATCTGGGCTACACTGTATGTAATATAAAATTAGGAGATTAGGTATTTTTTAAAATTTAAATGTTTTGCATGTTAAATTTTTCTTTTCTTTTCTTTATATGTGTATTGAGCACTTTTTAATACAACTATTTCCTGGTCTAATTCAACTCTGACTAATAACTGTTTATATATATATATATATATTATAAATTAATTGATTTAAAAAATATAGTTATACACAGTTCCAACCATGTTTCAAAAATAGAAGCTAAAACCCTAATTTTATTTTTGCAAATAAATTAAAAGCATTAGTTCTATTTCATCTTCAAGCGAATTTTGGAGTAACTTTTAAAATTTACCGGGTTTTAAATACACAGCTAAAATTAAAATTTTAAAATTGAAATTAAAATTGTAGTAAAATAAAATGAATTCTAACATGTTATTTATACATACATATGAAACTTTATTAATTAGGTTACATATATTTGAAATAAATAAATTAATTAATTAATAAATAAATAAAGTTTACTAAATCTGAGAAATGACTTATATATAGTTTTGTAGTAAGTGCCATTAATATTACTTAAATAATATTTAAATTTAAAAAGAAGAAAAAAAAAAAAAAAAAAAAAAAAATTTACATATACTTTGATATGGAAAAAAATTTTCTTACTTAATATGAGTAATTTTCCTTCTGTTATAAAGTAATATAGTCTATTAAAACTAAACAATGAAAATATTTTAAAATTTTAAAGTTGTAATTTTGAATTTGTAATAAAATTGTAGTTAAATTGAATGAATTCTAACCTAAATTTCTTTTAAATAATACTACACGCATTAAAAAAGAATCCAAAAATAACACCTATAGTAAAATAAAATTAATATGAAATACCATAACATGTAAGCTTTTGAATGACCCATGTCCTCAGTACTTACATGTGAAATATTATAATAATAGGTTTTTATATATAAAAAAAAAGTTTACTGAATCAGTGAAATTAAGTAACCATTTCTGCTGTCATAGTCATATATAAAA